TACACATTTAAATAAAACACTTTAACGGTTTAAAACGCGATATATTAGTTAACGGGTCTCCCCGTGACCACGGCTGCTGCAAAGCATCCGAAACGTCGGGCCGAAGTTAAAAATCATTTTCAAATAAGTTTAACTAATATATCGCGTTTTAAACCGTTAAAGTGTTTTATTTAAATGCTTGTCTTACTTCCCCTGTCATAAAAACGCATTGCGCGGTCCCGAGTTTAATCCCCGGAGCATTGTTTTACTTTTTGTAAAGCGCAGTCACTAAACAGACACGGAACTGCATCTGTGGCCCCACTCTGACGAAATTAAACTGTTATCTAATAAATACGTTTTACACAGACTTGTACACCAATATTTATATATCCACTAGTTTTGGTGTACGACTGCGCACGCGACTTTATTGCTATGTAGATAGATCATAAAAGTTCCAAGAAAAATGCGATTCTTTTGAAATCAGCCTTGCCTAATAGAATTAAAGTTATTGTAATTTTTTATTATGTAGATTCAATATCTAATCAATTAGCAAGCACAATTCAAATACACATAGCGCAATATTAAATACTTTTAAGGTTTCTTTCTTAGAACAGAGGTGGATATTGCGATTTGCTTCATTAGTATTTTATCCCTTGCTCGGCTTGAAGACAATACCTTTTTATAAGCTCCAAAGCGTGGCCAATGACCTTCACAGTACGGATATACGATCGAATTTCCCGTGACAAAAGAGGTTTATCCAATGCAAGATCATTTAGCACGAGATATGAATAATACATTTCTAATTTGTGTTACGAAAGGGTTTTATTTTCTGTACCTTAAGAAAAGAATATCGATAGATATTTTTTTTAGGAGATGAGATGATTCTAAAATGATTGTTTATTTAAACAAAACACTTTAACAAACAAAATTTTATCTACGGCCCGACGTTTCGGATGCTTTGCAGCAGCCGTGGTAACGGACAGTAAAAAAAAAAATGTAAATAAGTAAACTAATGTACTTATTTCGAGTTTGAAACCGTTTGAGTTCTTATTTAAATGTGTACTATTCGCGTAAAATACAGACAGTATTTAATGATAGTTTAAGTAAGCAATCTTTTATAAATCTTGCCTTACTAACCGAGAACGCCTTTTTTTACAATCATAATTGCTTAATAAATTTCTGAAGGCAAAACTCCTGAATTTTTTATATCTATAGCTTTGTTCGTTATTGTAGAAAAAATATCTTAGTTACCATAATATATATGTGTACAATTCTACTCGTTCTTAGACTGAACGGTCTTATTACTCTTTAGTTAAAATATTTTCACTTTTGTATGTCAATGAGATTTTTCAAAGATGACTTATAAGTAGAAAATAGAGCATCGGTCATGCGTGTCGGCGTTAATATTCAGATAAATACCGAGGAAGCAACCGAGCGTGCATCTTTAATTTCGTTCTGGAATCTTACATCTATTGTGATACTTTTTATTACGAAAGAAGATTAAGTGAATGTATCTATAGAAAACCGACTTCGGAATTTTTGAAGACTTTTTCTTTTCACAGTACCTCTTGTTAAGATAGTACCTACCTTAAGAATTTAAAAATTATAATTAAATAACCTCCCTTCGATTTGATCGAGTATCTTCTGCTTTATGACGTAGACCGTTGATAATGTACTTTCTATTCCTCCCTTTTCGAGAGTCTATATCCTTCCAAATAAGGGGGTACTTTTGACCATTATCAGAACAATTTATAACGCATATGTACATAGCTTTGTACGAAACCATTTCAATCATGCTGTGTTTAAACATATTTCAAGTGTCGTTTTTAAAAAAGAAAGTTTTAATATTTTTCAAATGTTATTGCACGTGATGGCATAATATAAATTAAAAATCTATTTAAAATTTCTTGATTTGCAGCAGCGCTGACCGAAGTGGATGCCGGTTGAAGTCTTGTCTATGTCGTTTTTTTTTCAATATGAACGTATTTTTAATTTACATAATATACGTATAAAAGAAAGTAGTAAAAGTTAGTACTCTGATACAAATACAAACAATGGCATGTAATATTATAAAGCGTCAAAAAAAACTACCACATAATCTAAAAAATAATTCTAATAAGCTATGCAGTTACACAGATTAAACAATTTGCATGCGTCGCAAAAACAGAGAATGTTACAATATTCAATGTTACCTAACTCTGAATAATTTTCAGGGCCAAAAATTGCAAAAGCATCCGGTGCTAGACTTAAAGGACCATTTCCGAGCTATGCAGTGGATTAAATTCAATCTGGGTCCACGAGAATCTCCAATTGATTAATGTCTGCTATTGAGCATGGCAGAGCCACTGAATCATCCGGTTCTACTACGCGACGTACTTATTACCTTTGTGTGCTTAAAGTAGTAATGTTTTTTAATATGTCTTTTGACGTTTGTGAAAATGAATGTCGAATATGGTTCATAATTAAGAAGTAGGTAGTTTGATTCCCATCCATTCCTTTGATATTATTCCATGTTTCGGTTGCAGTAAATTTTCGTTTGTCACCTCTGTCTGTCTTAAGACTAGAGCAAAAAAAGATTCCAGAGTCAAACTTCTGTTTCTGTTTCCACTGTATGCCGTTTTCTTAGTCTGATTTAAGATAATAATATGATGTTACTATTAATGGTAACGAAATCCCCTAGAGTTTACTAAAGCGTGTTGTTATTGATCAAATTCTTATGGGATCCAATTAATATTTTACATCCTTAATTAGTTAACTTATTTTGTAGATGATATTTTTCATATATGATGTAGATCATATTTTTCATATTCGCATATATTTTAAAATTACGCGTATACTTAACCTTCGGAAAATTGCGCATGCGATCTTTCCATGAATTTATAAAATCGAGGAAATTGTAAAACATGTTGACTTAAATTGAATCATAAGTTGTAAACCGGCGACTTCCAAATTTAAATAAACTTAAGTGTTTGGAAAGAACCTGAGCACGTCCCGTTCGACCATTTACGATTTCCTCTATATATATTCTCGCATAAATTAGTGTGTACGTTGATATATTTTATGTGACGACATTTTTAAATTTTAAAAGTCGGACATACTGTTAAACTTGTCTTGTTAACATTTAGTTGTTAAGTTCCACACTTTTATTATTAGGGTAGGTCCAAAAAAAAACCACGAAACAATTTTACTTAAAATCAAACATATAATTCATACACTCAATGTAATTTTACTTAAGCTTAATTTAAATAAAACACTTGAACGATTTATATATTCTTTAGTTATTTGAAAATTACTAATATATATCGCGTTTTAAACAGTTTTTTATGTGTGCTACTCGCGTAACTACAGACAGTATTATTAGTAAGGCTTTTCTTCCTATGTTGCTTCAGAATTCAAACCCACGACCCCGTGCTTATTACAATGCTAGGTAGGTGTTACCGCGCCTGTCGGCAAAAATCCTTCTCAGTACCTATATTTTATATTACCATACACCATTGACATTGTTTGCAATACGTGGATTTTATGGTTTGTTTGCAATCAATTTGCATTGGATTCCGACATTCCGACATCGCCTCTGTTTGGAAATACGTCAAAACAGATTTATTTGACGGCTTCGCTGTTAAATGCCGTTGAATCATTGGGGGGCTAAAAATAGATAAATTTATATTAAACTAGCTGTGTCAGCGAATAATTATTTTGGACATCAAAGGTTTTGCAAACCTTCACATCTTTATACATTATAGTAGTTACCCACGACTTCGTCCGCGTCCTGTCGCGGGCAAATTTTTAGAGCATTGAAAAAATTAAAAATAAATATGTGAAAAATATAAAGTAGCCCATTCTCAGACTTACTTAATATTGATATTAAGTTTCATAAAAAGAACGGTCTAGCCGTTTCTGAGGAGTATGGTAACTAAATTATGACACGAGAATTATAAATATGTTATATATTATTCGTATTAACCAATATTTTTATACAATTTTACCAAATTAAAAAGTATATGTTATGAATTATTCAACTAATTTTCCATTTGAGCCATAAAACAAATTTTATTAACATTCAAGACGCCAAATTAGGTTATGCAAACATTGTACGGTTGTATAAATTTCAACATTTGTCCAAATAAATTCGTGGGTAGACGCCGTATATGGGACACAGCTGAACTAACTGGTAGTATGGAAACTTACTTTTCCAATCGAGAATATTTTCTTAGCTAATTCACGATTAATTCTCAGGCACAATACAATGAACTCGTCGTTTGACGTCGGTTTTATGTCACTGATTTATTTAAATTCTCAAAATTTTTCTTATAAGGTATATATACCATATGTACCTTTACGAACTATCATAGAGTTCTATGATAAATAAAAAGCTTTTAGGGTTAAGGACCATTTCTAACCGTTCTTTAATAAGAACTAATTTACCCGTATGTTTTAGACAAATACGTTTAAAGATATATATATTTTTAGATTAAACGCAATTACTACACGGTTTAACGGTTTTGAAAAGCGCAATATTAGTTAATTTATTAAATTTTTAAATAATTACAATAACCGCTCATTTTACAGTATCCAATACATTTTGTATTTAATAGCAAACTCTTTGAATATACGTATTTCATAAATGCATTAGTGGTTTTTGCTCCGTTGCAATGCAAAGAGATAAGTTCAGGTACTCAAATCCTTCCTAGAACTGGTCGAAGCAAAGCCTAACTAAACAATAATGGACATTGGTTGAGCACGTGCTGCAATATTGACTTTGCTGGCAAAGCTTTAAGAATTACAAATAAAGTGTTATGCTAAATAAAGACGAGAAATGCTAAGTATTTTTACGCTTCATACTATTAATATAATAAAGTCAAAGAACCAACTAATATTAAATTTAATTGAGTGGGTGAGAATGCTAAATATTTTTCACGTGCTATGTCATTTGATGAGAGGTTTATGTACCAATAAGTTGAAAAAAATCGACAATGACTTTTAGGCTTCGGTAGCTCAATTGGTTAGAGCAACAGCACAAAATGCTGTGGATGCTGGTTCGAGACCCGAGTGAGTGAGGTCTTCATCTTTAGATAAAAACATTAACGAACATTGTTCTCGTTTCAACCTTAAAACGAACTAACTAAGTGTAACTAAGTTTGTTGAAAGGTTTGTATTGAATTATTTCGTTTTAAATAACAATTAATATTAATTGTATTACAAAATGACACCACCACATCTGGATCAGATAAGTCACTTCCGAGATTATCGTGCATAAACACAAAGAAGACATTTAGATACTCTTGCGTCGATATAATATATTTCATCATATATCATCCATGTACAGATCGCTTAAATTTGTTTATATGTATAGATTAATAAATTTCGTTCAGTGTGTTATTCAAGGTACATCATAAACTCAAAATTACTTTCTTTCAGGTTACGGCATGCTGAAGCACGTGGCCGTGTCCCCGCACCGAGCGCGCTCAGACTCTGTCAGTCTCTCTTCTTCCGCCTCCTGCTGCAGCCTCGGTAGCCTCGACCACCGGCACGACTCCGTAGGGGATCTCTCTAACCGCACGGTAAGGATATTTAGATATTGGCGTACTGCACAAGAGTATAAGAGAATTCAATAGAGTTCTTTATGAAACCACTCCAATTTGGAGTAGTGTTTATGGCCTCACCTTACAACACGTTGTTTCTTGGTATTTGGTTATAGTTTATCCGACATACAAAAACCTTTTAGAAACTAGGTCTTTAAGTTATTTCCTTCAAAGTGTCAGATGTCTGCATCAATCGATATTTTAATGTGATTTCTTACAAATAAGACCTATTGTATTGCAAATCAGCCTTGGTTAACCGTGAAAAATAAAGACGTCATTATTTAAAAACAATAGCGAATTTCAGCTCAATCCAACTAAGCAAGGTAACTTAGTGTTTGCTTCACAATAAGCGGAATTAATGATATATCGTAGTCTATTACAAGCGTTTACAATGGATTGGTCAACATGATTAAATGTTTGGGTTATGGTGAAACTATCAGATACCAAGCTACCAACCAAGATCTATTTTAACACCCACCACTGTTGAGAAATATCTTTGATTATTGTCCCTATTTGATTTCGATTTATTTTCCATTCCTTCAATTATTGTCATCTATTTCTTAAACAATTAATAGTTAATATAGAAATTATTACGAATAATAGTGAAGGACTTAAATTATTATAAAAAAAAACATGTATACAACTTAAATTACTTTGTAAAAATTATATTTTTTTAACACGTAACAAATAATAACTAAATTTTGGAAATACCATTGTCATATACTGCTATCTGTTACTTTATAAATTGTGTTCTTTTTGTGTTTCTGTTTTTTCCTTGAATATAAAAAAAAAAAGCACAAAAGTAAAACTAAAGGTTTGTGCGTTTAGGTTATAAGTACCTATTTTCGAGAAATTCTTTGTATGACGTTTCCTTCTTTCAAACGATCACTTTTCATTACAATCATAGCATTAACCTTGCGAACATTTTAATTGCCTTTCTCTGGGAGAATAATGTTCACTTTCGCAGTAATGGCGGGAACTACATAATCAGCCTAATGCCTGGGAAACTTTGCTGAGAATTCGACTGGGCTTCCTTTCATAAACTATTTATTTTTATTTCCACAGACTCGCGGTAGCAATGTATTGGTTACTCATGACTGGGTTTGATTACCTCCGATCCAGTATTTTTATTAGTTAAATGATGGGTAGGAACATCGAAACTCTATCCATCAGAAATCCGAAGTGTATAGACATACGGTACATTTTAATACAATCTTATAGGGTCCACCGTATTCATTGTCCATTACAGAGATAAAAAACGGAATATCCCGTTCCCCGTGGGCATGGGGCGTACAGTTTTTCGTTTTATTTACAGACAAGTATGTAGTTGATAATTCATTTATTGTTTCCCCGAGACTCGAACCCCGAATCTCTCACGCTTAACGCAATGTTTAACCGATTACGTACAGTGCCTGTGTTAACCAACATAGGAATATACAAAAAATAATTTCTTTATAAATAGTTTGACGCCAATTACTATAGACACTAACAAGTCATACATCCGTATGTCAAAAAATATTGTTGGAAAAGAATGTCTTTTATAGGCTATAAATAAATGAATGTCTGTTTATGTACAAGGATTTAAGAGAACAATTTACACACAAATTACTAAATCTAAGGTGTTTTGAATTTAAAAGCTTTAAGTATAAGCTCCTGTATACAGGAAGTCAGTGTGTGTTTAGTGATATATTATCAGAAATAAATATTTGCCACCGCTATCTGTTAACTCGAACTTTAAGCAATTTTTGTAAATGCTTTGAAGATTAAAATTAGCATATATTGAAGTGGAATAAATTTTGTTGTGCCGGTGCGCGGCCTGAAAATTTTTGACTTAAAAAAACATTTCAGATTATAAATAATTGGTGACAAACTTCGAAACCACGTGCTACTGCTGCTTTCTGCTATAGACGCGTGTTTAAATCCCACATGTGTTATTCTAAAATAGGTTTTAACTTAGTCGTACTTCTGGATACAGGTCCCTTAAGAGCTTAAACCAACGCTGCAGCAGTAGTCCAGAAAGCCTAGCAACGTCCATTGTAGGTTGCTAGGCTTTATAGTCTACTGTTGGTACATCTAGAATACCTTCAACATATAAACTTTTTAAGCAAACATCTGATTATGACTTGTTCATAACTCATAACATATCTTTCCTTTGCTAAAATTCTATTTTCCTTTCTCCAAGTTTGCGATGAATAAAAAAGAAGAAAGAAAATGATGTTCCTCATTGCCATATTGGCAACAATACTTGTGCAATGCACGTGAATATGGTCTACAAAAACAAAAGTCGGTCAAACGACATCCCACGGTCTTCAGCTTTCATCAGAGTCGGTTCAACGAGGTAACCCAGACCATACCGTTCCCAGCGTAGTATCGAACATTGTCTTTGTATTATCACAAGGGAATATCAATTAAGACGCCTTAATGAAGAGATCGTTTCATTGTCAAAACTTATTTCTATTACTTTGGGAATTGATGGATCATAACTGTCCATTATAAAATTATAATGAAAAAATTAGTTTCTTCATGCCTTGACTAGTATTATAAATCTCAAGAGATTATCTCAGGAACTACTTAATCGAATACTGTCTATAGTTTTCGCGAGTAGTACACATTTAAATAAAACACTTTAACGGTTTAAAACGCGATATATTACTTAAACTTATTTGAAAATGATTTTTAACTTCGGCCCGACGTTTCGGCTGCTGCAAATTTTCAAATAAGTTTAACTAATATATCGCGTTTTAAACCGTTAAAGTGTTTTATTTAAATACTTAATCGAATTCAAAATTTATTTTTGTGGTGATTAGACCGTTTAAAGTGGATACCTTGTGGATAGCTTTTGGCTATAAAACATCCCGCTGCACTAATAGGAGCGAAGAAACCTAGAGAAACGTGGACAAAATGGGTAAATTATTGATTTTTCTGGGTATGCGTCGCCTGCGCTGCGAAAACGGTTTAAGATACCCAAAAAATATTTATGAAAGAATTATTCTTCGTTAAATAATCTAAAAAGTATATCTAGAGTATTATAAGGACCCTTTTTGTGGTAATCAAATTTCGTCGATATATATATACCTACCTACCTCAAATGGTAGCTAATTTAACTGTGTGTGTATTAAATTGCAAATTTTAACACGAACGAAACCACTTAGTTCTTTTAAATTTCGAATTCAGATCGCACTCCTAATTAAGGCGATTGTTTCGAATTGTGATCACATCACACACAAAAACTACATGTGATTTTTATTTTTTTCTACACTGAGTACATCATTTTACAATCACTTAATTACCCTAAGTACTTACAAGTAGATTGGGGTCACACATCTTGCACATGTGTAGCTGAAGAAAAACATAAGGAAGCTCGTTAGGAGTAAGGACTCTTAAATTGTTATAAGACGATAGTCTTCATTGAGATGTTGATAAATACTGGCTTTACCATAAGATTATTTGATTCCAGAACACAATTTCGCAATAAAGATCTAATATTATGGTAAGAAAGAAAGAAAAGAAACATTCTTTTTTCGGCAGCTTAAAAAACATTTTAATAGCATCGAGTCATCGTATGCCCCAATACATTAAAAAAAATTTTTTTTTTATTTACTTGTTTTAATTAGAATAAGAATCTTTACTTGGCATGACGTAGTTAGTAGTGATGAAGACACGGTTGTGAAGAAGCCTTTGAGTTTCTACGACTTGCCTAATATCAATTATTGGTTGTAAACTTATACCGGAAAAAACATACTTTACAATTACTAGAGTTAGAGTAAATGTATAAACGAAGCTATGTTCCTCTTCGTTGCACACTATAAAATTTCTTATATCAACTTTGTTACCATTCAATTACGATTTTTTATATTGTTACCGTACATATCTTAACGGTATTTTATTGTAGCGTTACTCATTCACGAGCAGTGGGAAAATCAATAATGATTATTGTGCTCGTTACGTGATTAATTGTCCGTTACGGTTGTTTTAATGGCTGGAATACAACAATACACTAAGAATTTTCATCAAGAATATGTTTTTACACATCGAGAGATGTGTTATAAGAAAGTTTATCATTTGTTAAGATATCACATTTGAAACAAGAATAATACATAAACCATGGTAGCTCGTTTAAAAATGATCCTTATAAATTTGGAGTAAAGTTGAAAATAGAGTAGATTTAAAAACCATATTCTTACAATGATAGCGTTTCTTGCTTTGTAATAAGGTTTACAAAGTATGTGAGTTATTGGCAGTAGACTAGTGTGATGCGATACAGTTTTTCCCACGCAATATGTGATGAGTAGTTTTTCTAACTTCAGATTATCATTCAGATTATTACCTTAATGAAGACTAATGACTTTGAGAGAGTCAATTCAATTTTAACGATTTTTTTGCGACATCAATCCATTCTTCTAATGTTTTTTTTTTTTTTATCCGAGTAAAGGTGTTTTTTTTTTATATGTTGCTCGAAAACTTCTTACGATAATAAAGAACTAGTTGTTTAACGATTTAAAAAGATAGGGATATATCGTAAAATCTTTATACTATAGTATACAATATGATTGACTAATATATATCGCGTTTTAAGCGTTAAAGTAGTTTTTTTTAATGTGTACTACTCTCTTAAACTATAGATTTAATTAACGGACGGGGTGGAAAATGCGAAATAAAGTTCAAATAACTCTTATATGTCGCATTTTAACCCGTTAAAGTGTTTTATTTAAATGTGTAAACATACAGACAGTATTTAATATGATTGACTTAAGACCTAAAAGTGTACTTCAAAATTTCAAAAATATCTTTAGAAAATCATTTTTTTAAAATAAAAAAAAGGGTTTTTTAATTTTTTTTTTTTTTTTTTTTTTTAGGGGGGGTTTTTTTTTACTATCGTTAATAAAATTTAATTTATTTATAGTATTATCAGAGAACAAATATACACTTTAGTATAATGAACAATTCACAATAATTGTAATGGTTGTCTATCAAGGCCT